CACATATTGTTCCAGACGAGCAATTAAAATCCTGTGATCAACTGTGTATGTATTTAGTTAACCTTAGGCTACATTTAGCTTTTAGCTTGCCTTTTGATACTATCCAGTCTTCTTTTAGCTTAAACAGCTTAGTAATAGTCTCTTCCACAAATTTCAGCAGTCCTTCGCACTCAGCAATGAAAAATTCAAGTTGTTTAGTACAAATGGAGTTCTCTTTAATCATAAATAAATTTATACATTTTGAAGATAGTTTGGTGACAGTTAAGACCTTTTGATTTAAAGCTGGACAATGCAAATGACTAGTTTCTTTTCTATACATGTTTTAAAATTGTGTTTCCGATCTTAACATCTCTTTTTATCCTTTTAGGTAATTTAAAGTTTTGGCCACATGCACAGAGAGCAGCAGACACCTGATTTTATTTAGCTAAAATAAAAACACACAACCACACACACACACACACACACACACAAGCAGGTTCACTCACTGCTCCACCTTCAGCTCAAAGGTCAAATATTAAGGCACAACATACAGAAACTAAACATCCTCATGGTCACAAATGTGCAAATTGTTTGCGGTCATGCAGCTGTGGGTCCAATCAGTGTCATGTGACTAACGTTTAAACCTCTGGAAAAGAGGCGAACTGTTCACGAGGCCACATGTGAAAAAGTGACGTTAAAAAGGAACAAAGACATTCACAATAAAGTGTGATGGCCTACCATCTGAGTTCCATCCAGTCTTGATTTTCACCTTGAATCCTGCACAGATCTGAACACCTTGATGCACATGGGAGGTGGGCGTGGCCTCATAATTTCTGGACTGCTACCTCCCCAGCATGGACATGTCATTAGTTTTGTACCATTTATGCAGACACTTACAACGATCTGTGCACGGCACTGCATCACAAAATCACACCCACATTGGGGTTTTGTCCTCTGTTGAACAAAACAAATGATAAAACTGAAGACACTGATACTAAACTGAGCCAAGTTGGTGTCACAGGACTTGGATTACAGAAGCCTGAAGGATTGTGATAGTTAGACATGACGGTGCTGCCCCTCTGTGCATGAGCAAAGTTATTGCATGGCTTCTCCTGTGGCTTATTATTTTTATATATATATATAACAACCATAAATCTCTCATAAAGGAAGTCAAAAGCTTGTAAATAATTCATCCTGTATTTATCAAAATCCAACAGTCTGCAGGTAAAAATATTAGAATTACAATTTACCAGAATAACTGAGTACATGTAAAGCTAGTGGAGTATTTAGGATTTTGCCAAAATAACTATATATATATATATATATTTATATATTTTTTTTTTATTTTACTTATTCTACTATATATATGTATATACAGTAACTATACATACCTAAACAAGCACAGATACCAAATCTACAAAAAAAACTATGTCAAATATTAGATGAAAGTCTTACTCGTATATTAGTATTGTTATTGTTTATCATATATATATATATATATATATATATATATATATATATATATATATATTCTTTTGGTTTTTTTACATTTTAGGAAGTTTTTGTGTAAACCTTTCTGTTGGTGATGTTACACTTGAACTTCCCTTCTGTGGGACAATAAAGGCTGTTTCTGTTCTATTATTTATATTATATTATATTATATTATGTTATATTATATTATATTATATTATATCATATTATATTTTATTATATTTTATTATATTTTATTATATTGTATTCTACTCACCAGCAGAACATGGAAGAGCAAATAAAGGTGCATTCTTTATTATGCTTTTAAACCTTAATATTTTATTTTTATTGAACCTTTATTCCTACAGGTCATCTCATTGAGTCACGAGGAGAGAGACGTGTTTAACAGCTTGAAAGTTTGTGTCCTGTAACAACAATGAACACATTCACATAAACAGGAATTAAAGAAACTATGATGGAAATGCCAATGCAACAATGCACAACAACCACGTACATTTATACGCACAGTTTGTACTTCACTTTTAAGAAGTGTCAGCGAAGGTACATGCATTCTAACGTTTAAATAAAAACTTTTTAGTAATGTTTGTATAAATGCATTTATTGCATATACTTTATGGGGGTTTAATATTATGTGTAAGAGGCTGCACTCTTCCTTTTTTTCATACCACAGACAGAAACTCAATAAAAAGTTCATTTAGAAGGAATAATGTACTTGAAATGATGATAAAAATGTGAATAAAACTGCATGTAAGTGACATCTACTTGCACACATTTTCTGCCATAAAAGCTACAGTAGGTCATATGACCCTTTTAGTTATCATTTAAGGAAGAAATCCTTCACCAGTGGGTGTCTGAACTCCACATACTGCTCCATCTGTGGTGAGTGTTTCATCTCATGCCTCCAGTTACTTTGCATTATCTTCAATAATGAACGCTGTTCTTTTAAATACTAGTTTTTTATTTTAACGTTTGGAGCTCAGTATGCACCACTCTTAAACAAAGCTTGTCTTTCTTAACACATTGCGTGTGGTCAAATTAATGCTGCGAGAGATAAAGGAATTGCTGCAAAGATCGTCTGGGGATATAAGTTTTAACAGCATCTTTAGGTTTTTGAGAAGAACAGGGAATTTGGAAAGGATTTAGTTGGGGTTTTTTTTTTAGAATCTTGTCCATACTCCAATCCAGAAGGTGGCGGGAATGCACCTTAAGCTGTTTGCCAACCGCCATAAAAAGACAAGAAGAAGAAGAAGAAATTAATGCTGCGCCTTTGCTACCAGTGTTACGGTAGAGTGATGAGGCAACCCGGAAGTAGAGCCATAAACACGTAAAGTAGTCCATCCCTTTCCCCCAAGTAGTATGTCACATCGTAACGTTTCTAAAGAAGCTCTGATCGGTTCCATTACACTCGGGGTTGTTTTTGTCGCAGGATATATCTTCGGTAAGAACAAATACATTTAGGTTTTTAATTTATTCATACAATATACGAACGATTTTTGCTACACTAGGGTAACCTTAAAGGCACGGTTGCGCATGCGTATTACACACGGCTGTCAGAGGGGAGAAGGCGTTTTATAAATGTTAACGTTTTATTCGGATTACAGTCTGTAAATTGGGAGAATGACGTTTCTTATTGAGTTTATTTTAAAAAAGTTATTTATTATAGCTGTAGTTTCGATGCTAAAAGAGTCAAAGTTTAACAAGAGTCATCTCAAAAGAGGGCAAACAGGTTTAACCTGGAGGATGTATTACAAGTGTTTGTTTGTTTGTTTGTTTTAGCTTGGAATAAATTTAGAGCTGGGGAAACTATTCTCATATGTATTTACATGGGATAGGCAAGAGCACAGTTCCTGTTATTGTGTTTTTATCTATAATATTTAATTTTCAAATAAAGGAATAAGGCAGTGATTGTTGTAAAAGGATGTGAAAGGCCGTGGTTTTGTTTTTTGTGAGCCTAAATTTTAGATTGAATTCAGCATATTATAATGAAGCTCCTTAATTTTATTGTTACAATTCCCAGCTTTCATTTTTATATATAAACCTACTGCAGTTGTTTTTTCCCCCCTGTTGTATTTATGCTGTTCCTATTTTTTACATCAGCTGTGCATTGTTGAATTTTTATGCCACAGTCCGGTTTACCTTGTGTTCCTTCGGTTATTTTTGTAAACAGATTTTGCTGCTTTGTTTTGGAAAAATAAAGTTTTTAGCCATTTCCTCAAGCTCTTCGCGTTCAGTCTGCATTTTGAGTCCGAACGTCGTGCAAACCGTAACAAATCCTCCGAAATTGAATTGTCTTACAATTCCCCGCTTTCTTCTTTATCTGGTCCTCTTGCTGTAGATCCAATCACTCCATTTCCCCTCTGAGGTCATTTAAGTCAGATCAAATTCAAGTTAACCAGATGGAAGTTTACAATAAGACGTGCAGCCTGACGTCAGTAAGGCCCTTATTGTTTCATGTTCCCCATCAGGAAAGAGGAAGTCGTCCAGAATGAGCATCTTTAAAAGTCATGCCAAGGGCAAAGACAACCCACTGATGCAGTATGTCCTCAATCACTCCCTGAGAGAGCACCCGGTCCTCCAGAAACTCAGGCTGGTGAGGAAACATCTGGATCACTGCTCGCAAACTCTAAGCTCCCAATGTTTTAAGAGGGAGTTTGGTTTTGCAAAGTCACTGGTGCAACTGGCGTTTCTTTCAGAAAACGATGGAGGACTCCTGGAGCATCATGATGGTGGCCTGCGAGCAGGCGCAGTTCATGGCCAATTTGGCGAAACTAATTAAAGCCAAGAAGGCGTTGGAGATCGGTGAGTGTGTCCGTGTTCTTATTGTTGCACATTTAAAACAACACTTGTTCCAAGTGCTTTACAAATGTAAGAAATGCAATAAAGAGGAATAAATTACAGGAGCAGATGCTGCAGAACTGCAAGAATTTATTCCCTCAATTCACGTTTTTATACTTTAAATGACAAAAACTCCTCATTGGTGGGAACAAATGTATTAAAATTATTAGAGTGGACTTTGTTTTCAGCTGTTTTGTGCTCCTTTCTGGTTCTTCCTGCTAACGGCAACATTTTTGTGCTTTTTCAAACTTCATCCTAATTTTAATTTATGCTCCTTTCAGCGTATTTCTACTATTTCACCTACTGTTTAGACATTTTTATGCTAATTTTAGCTTTTTCAGCTTATTCCACTTTTTTTTTCACTAATTTTAACATTTGTCTGCCTAATTCAGCAAAAATGTGTTTGCTCCACTTCCTTCTGGTAATTGAAGCTTCTGCATGCTTTTTTAAGCTACTTTTCAGCTGTTTTTTGCTCATTTCAACTGTTTTCAGATAATTTCCACTTGTGCTCATTTCAGCTTCTTTCAACCTAATTTGGAAAATGTTCTTTCTGCTTTCTTATGCTAATTTAAGCTTGTTCTACCTGTTCAGCTACCTTTTTTTAGCATTTTCTAGCTAATTTTGTCTGTCAGATAAATTAGTTTTTGTGGTAATTTCTGCTACTTTTAGCCTTATTAAATTATTTCTGATAATTTCAGCTTGTCATAAGCCTTTTAGCTTAATTATGCTAGTTTCAGTTTTGCTGCTATTTCAGCTACTGTTTAGCTGTTTTTATGCTAACTTTAGCTTTTTGAGCTAATTCCACATTTTTTTTAATCTCATTTCTGCTTCCTTCTGGTAGTTTAAGCTTCATTCTGTTTTCTACGTTTCAGACTTGTTTTTTTTTTACTTATTTCAGCTTTTTTTTTAGCTAATTTCCTAATTTTTGTGCAAATTTCTGCTTATTTAAACCTTACTCAGCTTTTTTCCTGCTAATTTAGGCTTGTACTTCCATTTCAGCTACATTTCAGCATGTTTTTTTAGCTAATTAAGTTCTGCTGTAAGCATTCACGCTGCATTTTTGCAGGAAATGCAATTTCTGTCATTTATAAAGATTTTGAGTGCTGGACCTCTTCTGTTCATGTCACGGTTTCAGAATTTCACTATAATCAACTTACTCAGGCTATGAGAGTGAGTTTTGGATCCTTAAAGTCAATAATAATTTCCTGGTATCTGGACCATCTAAATATTGTTTCAAGCTGTTGATTACCCATCTGCCTAATCCAGCTTGTCTACCAGCTTCTGATGCAGAAGTGTTTGTTTGGGTCATAGGGTGGTTTTTGGATAAATTATGGAGGGTTGAGCTGTAAGAAGGTTCTTTCTCCACTCGTTTCCTGATTTTAGTTCCTGTTTGTTGCATTTCCAGGTGTGTACACAGGATACAACACACTGAGTATGGCGCTGGCTTTGCCTGAGGACGGTGTTGTTGTTGCTTGCGACATCAGTGAGGACTACACGAACATCGGCAAACCGTTCTGGAAGGAGGTACAGCGCGCGCCCGTTCACGACTTTTACACCTTGTGATGTTGTGCAATGCTAATGATTATATACACCTCAGGTAACAGATGTTCTGTTTGATGAGGGGGTCCATAAATCAGCTTGAGCAACAGGCGGTTAATAATTTATAAGACTGCTGAAAGGAGTGCAGTAAAAAAAAAAGTCTTTTTTGTCTAAACTTTTAAATAATTGTGCGACATTTTCAGTTTCCAGTCATTCAAGTGTCTTTTTTCATATTGGTATGAATGAATAATTGCATTATTTACTTTTTAGGACAAATATTGACACTGGAATATTAACACTAATGAGCTGATAAATAAAAGAGACTCCAAATGTATTTTCATTTGTCACAGTGAATAAAAGCCGTCTGCTTCCTCCACGTGCAGCGGACGTACACCGGTTTAATTCATTTGTAAAATATTTCCGGAAATAAGCCAAAGATTTGCTTAACGTTTAACATTATTCTGGTTTTCAGGCTGGAGTTGAGAAGAAAATTGATCTACGCATTCAGCCAGCCTTGAACACCCTCGGTACGGTCACTCATCTCTTTTCTTTCTCTTTACAACTTTGACTGGGATTATCGTGGATTAAATGGAAGGAAAGTCATTTAGATTCCTTCATTTCATCCAGATACCAAGTCTTGATGGGATACACCCGTTAATGTTCTATTTTTTTTCAGCTGCTTGCTGAAATAAACAGTAAATGCATCCCATTTGTTTTTATTTTACCCGTTGCTTCCATCATTTTGACATCAAATAACTGTTTAAAACTAAATCCAATCCCAATAATAGAAATATTCTTATTTGTGTGATAATTTGTGATCATCACGTATTGCTCCACTGTTTATTGATGAGTAACTTACTTCTGACTACGTTACAAAACTATCCCTCCATTTCGGCAGAAAATCAGCGGCCGGAAGCACCGTTGGCTTCTGGGTAGTGTAGTTCTTTTTTTACTGGCATTACAAAAGAAAACTACAAAATGGCAGTGCCTGTCCGAAGTTTTTTTTTTTTCTGTTAGCGTTTTATACCGTACCATTCCAATCACGTGAGTAATATTAAAGTTGACAGTCGTTGAAAAACTGCGAAAGTCGAACCGCGAAGTATCGAGGGACTACTGTAAATCACTTTTGTGCAACGGGTCTCAGGTGAAACGTTTGAAAACCAGTTCTGATTTACAAACATCTGTACATTTAAAGGGTCCACTTATCTCAACAAACATTACACCTCCACCACCATGCATTTGGCATCATGTTTTTTGTTTTTACTGAGCCACAAACCATAATTAAGTTTAATTCTAGTGTATTTTAACATATGCGAGGCCTCAGATTGACCTCGTAGGGTTTTGAAGTTTTCCTGAGCATCGTTTTCACGTCAAGGTTGTTTACCGTTTATTAGAAGCTGAAATATGATCGACTAGAATAAAAACGGATCTACGACGAGACCTACTTACAAGTTTTGCACAAATATATCCTGATCTCTTTTCCACATTTTCAGATGATCTCCTCTCTTCCGGCCAGGCTGAAACATTCGACTTCATCTTCATAGATGCGGACAAAGTCAACTATGATAATTATTACGAGAAGTCCCTGCAGCTGCTCAGGAAAGGAGGCGTCATCGCAATCGACAACGTGAGAGCGTGAAACCGAGACAGACGAGTTGTTTTCAGAGGCAGGTTGAGTTGATGCATCTTTGTGGTGCTGCAGGTGCTGTGGGGCGGCAGCGTGCTGAACCCGTCTCCCGATGACGCCGACACCGTGGCCATCGACAAGCTGAACAAGAAGCTGCACAGAGACGCTCGGATTACCCTGAGCATGCTAACGGTGGGAGATGGGCTCACGCTGGCAATCAAACTTTAAACTTAAGAAGCTTCTGGATGGGTGACAAGTGCAATTTAGGTTTTTTTTTTTTAAAAGAACAGCAAAATAAAATCATTAAAGTTCAACATTTCTGCAGCTATACGACGCTCGTCAAAGCTTGCATTTAGCCGGGCGAGTATTTTCTTTTAATTGTACGACTAATTCAACCGTTTTGAGATTTATTTTAGTTTTATTATCTGAATGAATTCACACTGAACATTCCTTTTATACTCCTCAACTTCATGTCGCTTCATATTGTACCGTAATTAAACAAAATGAGAGAAATATGGATTTCAGGTCTTTATTGTATTTAGTAACGCACAAACTCCTCCATTAATGTTTCAACAGGAAGAAAAGTGGACGAGTCAGGTTTTCATTCAAGTCACAACGAGGGGAGGCAGAAATGCATTTCGCTTCATCCTATAAGGTGTCAGAACTCGTACAGAATCATAAAATCTATAGCAAATATGAGCAGCAACGACTATAAGCTTAAACGTTAATAGAATATCAATAAAATATGTAAATATAAGGAATTAAACTATTAAATGTATATTCCACTGTGCAAAAATAAACACCTCCAATTTACATGATTATACATCTCAGCAAAATAAGTTTGTCCCCAAAAACAAATTCTGGATTGTCAAACTAAAACGAGCACAACCTGAAGGATTTTTCACTGAAGGAACGACCTGATGAATAAACACAAGTGCTGAAAGGACTTCTTGTAACCCGTGACAGGAGGGTGGTGAAAATGTACTTTGTTTTGGCCTCGTCTTTAAAACATATTTTACTAGCCGTCCGAGAACACTGTAGACCAGATCCTGCTGATGCTCTACTAATTTTTTTTTTTTTAAAAAGCAGTGGATTCTCACGCCTCCAGCTCCAGGCCTAGACCGAGCTTGTGGCCGCCAGCGTTGATGCTCTTCCCATCTACTAACGCTGACAGGGTGAGTTTCATACCTGCGAAGTTCATCAAGTGAACAACAAGTTCAGGATGCGTTTAAAAGGGGTTCACAGAGAATTGGTTATTTAAAACATAACGGTTCTTACCAGGTCGCAGAGTCTGGGTGTATCCAATTCCTACCAAGCTGACATTATTCACCTTCATCTGGGGAAAAAAAATGTCAGGATTGTTAAAAAAAATACAATAAAATCTACCAGACAGCCACCTAATTACTGGTAGGTACTTACCGATAAGGAGGCATTAGAGTCTAACTGGTATTTAGCAGCAATTCCGAAGCGAGTGCTGTTGCTGCCTGCGGTCCAGGCAAGATTCACAGCAGTCTCCAGATATTCATTTACCTTCTGATAAATGGATCCACTAAACTCTGAACCGTCATTTCTAAGTGGGGAAAAAAACAGCAAAACAGAAGCGTGATTCTTAAAATATGTTCAACAAAAAAAAAAAACTTGTGTAATATTGAATACTGAGCATCTTTGGAAGCGGTTTCTGTAGATTAAAAGTCCTTAATCTGGGTTATGTGTACACTTGAGCAACCTACATGTTGGTGTGGAGCTGGAAGTCTCCAGTCTGGTACCCAACAGCAAAGTTGCTATGGGTCATCCTAGATTTGGCCGAGTCGATGGACATCTGGTAGCCTGCGAGCCAACCCTCATAACCAGCCACCGCTGCCCCGTGGATAGTTGGACCGGCAAAATCTAAATCTACGTCAACGCCGACGTTAAGGTGCTCTCGCTTATACGAAGTCTTCACTTTACCGCTCTTCTTGCTATGAAATTCAACAACAAAAGATGCAAATGAATAAAGATTAAAAAGGATTTTACACGAATTAGATGTCGACGTCAAACTTACCCAGTGTTGGGTGAAAACGTCGTTTCAAAATTAAGTTTCAACCCTTTGGTGATCTATTAAAAATAGAAAATATCACAATTTAGAGCTGGTCAATTAGTAGAATGAGCTACATTAAGGGGAAGGTTTTAACTTACTTTATCCTCGACACAAACTTCTGTCCCAAGGGTGTTTTCTGTGGTCCACTTCTCCGTGAAGGTCAGCCCATATTCAGCCCATTTGTACTTGGTTTCCAGGGCACCGATGACCTTGCTGGTGTCTACATTAGATGATCCAGATGTTTTAAATTCCTGAATGGAACATAAAAGGTTATTAATCCTAGCTGGAGACAATACAGCACGGGCAGCACGTCTAATTCCCAAAATGTCCCCCGGGCGCTTTCAATAGCTGCCCACTGCACCACCTGGTGGTGGATGGGTTAAATGCAGAGACTAATTTCGCCATTGTATGGAAACATACAGTGCTGACATTGTGATGACATTATTATTATTATTATTATTATTATACAGCATAGAAAAGTTTAATTATCTCTTAAAGATTAAATAAAAACGGTCTCAAACCAAGTAGATGTAAGGATAGTACTGATATAACCACGAGCGAATCATGAGCTCTCAGTGCTGATACCGACTGCCTCTGCACAACAATAGTTCATCTCACCACTCCGGTTGAAGACTTGGTCTTCACATCAAGCTTAATCAGCCCAAACCCTGCAAGGACAACAACTGTGATCAAACACTTCCTGCTCTGATAAATTTAGTCCAGCAAGCAGAAACGTTCTCAGCACGTCTGCAAATGGAAACTTATAAAAAAAAAAGAATGTCAATTCTCTTGCTTCCAGTTACCATATCCTTTGTTGAAGATGTCCTTAGCGGATTTTCCCAAGTCTGCGTACATTGGAGGAACTGCCATTTTACCTGAAAGACAAGAGTTAATACATTTTTCAAAACTATAAAACAAAGTGGCAAAGAAATTATACATTATAGTAATAAATTAACCATTTTTAGTCCATTACATTAAATACATTTACAAAAGCAACAAAAACCTTATAACAGCACGGTTACAATTTCCAGGATGATCTTTGTAACAATGAAAAGACTAAATTGTTAATAAAAGGTAAAGTTTTAAAATAGGTTTATCTTGTCAGGGTGCCAGTTTGGTCAAGTTCATTAAACATTTACCATTTCTACAAGATGACATGAGAAGAAAACTATAGTTTTATCCTTTATTTACAATGTAAATGAAGCACAAACATGATTAATCATGAGCAAGACTGATTCAAAATGCACAAATAAAGAAAGTTTACACTTTTGTTGCAAAAGGTTATGATTAGCAATGGGTTTTACATTGTGATTATGCAATATTTTAATCAGTGTAAGATGACTAATCAGCAACTGATGAGACCCTAAAAAGACTTTTATACAAAAAAAATGTATAAAAGTCAGGGTTTTCAATTTAAAAACGTTTTTTAAAGCGTTGCTTTAATTGGGCTGGCGTCACTTTAATGTACGTGTTTGCGTGACACCTAAAGACTGTCAAGGTTAAACTAAAGGCTGCAGCACTTTACAAACAGTTTGCATCAAGATTCATTTAAACAAACAAAAATTAGTGTTCAATCAATGACATCATTTCTATAGAAGTAAATTGTGAGCGAGGCGATTTCAACGCAAACAGCATTTAATGAATGACATGCAGAGGACGTCCAGGTAACTTAAGTTAGAATAAAGTTGACGCGAGGTGGTTTTATTTCGCTCTTTTATATTAAATTCCTACGTAAAACATGCGGACATTAGCCGCTATGCTAAGGGAGTTTAAACTGAGAAGGTGGTAGGGGGCGTTTTCCACCAGTCAAGTAAGATGTCAGCTTACCATAAAACTCAAGAACAAAAAAAACAAAAAAACACTTCACGAACACATGATGTAACAAAATACTTACCGAGAGTTGGGACCGTTCAGGTACTGAAGACTATCAGATTAAAAACGGGACTAATTCTTTCCGAAAACCCGGCGTAGGACAATATGAAGGAGACACGCAATAAAAAACCCTACGACCTCGGCGCCGCAGGACCCTGAAATATAGGTGTCTCTTTTTGCCTGACTGAAATCAAAGCGAAGGGTAAAAACTTTGAACCTCCCTCAACGGATTCATGCCATAATTTTATGATTTCGTTGTCATTATTTATATTTTTCTTATTTATAAACGATGACAGTTGTGACAAAATTGCACATCCTGCACACCGGCATAAACGAGACCCCTATAAATCACCATGGTAACCGTTACGCCATTAATTATTTTATTTTGTTTTTTTTTACGCCAATAATTAACCTAACGGGGAAATGCAGTATTTTGCTTCAAGAAAAAACTTTATTTGAAGAGGAAATGTAATGTTTCAAGTTTTAACACTAACGGGAAAACAATAACTACTTTTTCTGACACGTTTTGTCTATTGTAACTGAGGCAAAAATACACGTGACTGACTGTGATAAATGTACAATTCAATTTAATAAAATGTCATTTGTTTTTGTTTTTTCTTTTTTTTTTAATTAAAAAATACATTTAATTATTATGGTTTCACAGTCACCCCTCTGAGATAAAAGTTAAATAAAAATAAATAAAAAAACTGACCAGTATAGAGGGCTGTAATGGTTTTGCGAACTTACAAAGACTGTAAGAGATGAATAATCTCAAATGGATTTATTTCCTGGTAAAATGAAGGTTTAAAAATTTAAGACATTGGCACCAAAAAATTAAAATCAACCCTGAAATTAGCCAAATCTGAAAAGTATCTGAAAATGCAGAAGTCTAAACTGCCAGAAGGGAGTTGAAATGAGCTAAGAAATGTAGAATTAGCTGAAAAAGCTAAATGTAGCATAAAAACAGCTAAATAGTAGCTGAAATAACTGAAACCAGCAGAAGCTGAAAGAAGCATAACAAGTTGAATTTAGCAGAAATCACCACAAAAACTTTAATTTATCTGAAAACGGCTGCTAGAAAATGCTAAAAAATAAATAAAAAGGCAGCTGAAAAGGTAATTAACAGAAGAAAGCAGAAAGAACATGTTTGCCCAATTAGGCTAAAAGAACAATAAATTAGCACAAAAAGTAGAAATTATCTGGAAAAGCTAAAATTAGCACACACAAAAAACTGCTGAAAGGTAGCTAAAAGCTTAAATTACCAGGACATGGGGAGAGCACATTTTTGCTGAATTAGGTAGAGAAAGGTTGAAGTGAGTTCAAAAAATGTGGAATTAACTGAAAAGCTAAATAGTAGGATAAAACAGCTAAATAGCTGCTGAAATAGCAGAATCTTGCATAAATAAGGTGAAAGGAGCATAAGTTGAAAGGACAGGAACAAGTTAGAAAAAAAAATGTAATTGGCAGAAAGAATCTGAAAGGATCACAAAACAGCTGAAAGTAGCTGAAAAAAAGTTTGAATTTGCACAAGGAAGCTGAAAGAAGCTGAACCAGAGTAAAATGTGAAAGAAGCAGTAAAAGATTGTAAACAGATCTAAAGATTTGAAGGATGTAAAATGAGCTCAATTCATTTTCTCTGAGAAAAAAGTGGCAGAAGAGGCTAAATATTTCTAAAAGCTAAAGTTGCACCAGTATCAAGTCATATCACCCTTCTCCTGAACGAGCTGAACGTTTTGATATTGTGGAACGAGAAAGATGCCAAAAAAACGTATGGAAGAAAAATGGATCACAAAAGAGTGAATGCTTCATGAGCACTCGCACAGTAAGAACAATATTCCACAATATTTCTTTTTCACGTGCTCAGATGTTTTTGTGACAAGTGAAAACAAAGTCAGATTTTTCAGCTCTTTAATGAGAAATGTCAGACCAGAAACAATGTGGCTTTAACCAACATTACCCTTTGCCAATCAAAGGACATACTGGAGCGTTAACGCTCTGTTTTAGAAAAATCCTGTTGCTAACACATTGCAATGATCAAACCGATGATCGCCTATTAAAGTGGCAACTTCCATTCAATGAAACATACTTTCTGTTGAAGTCATCATTACATTTAAATAGCACACCGTCAGTCAATAAATAGTACAAAGCAACTGTAAACATAGCTCGCCGTGTGCATGTTAATCTCTTTATAGGGGAATATAAAAATACCTATTCACAGTATTAAAATAAAATAAATACTAACACATTTTAGGGATCTGTTTAGCACAGATTAGAACAAAGTCAAATGTATCATATTAGGGAAAATGTCTTGGTGTTAGCCCTGTAAGCTCCAGTGGACAATGAACTTTCAGCTGAAATTACACGTACATTCAACAGAAAAAACAAAAACGTGAAAAAGTCTAACATTTCTACAAAGCAGACTCCAGCACTGAAATACTCAAGGTAATTGGCATTAAGACGTACAGAAAAAAATAGTAATTCAAAGGTATTTGGCTGATTATGGCATTTTTTGAACAAGTTTTCTAGAAAACAAAACATAAAAACCAGAACTTGATGAACTGTAACGATAATCTTTAAATAACCAGTAAACCGTCCGTCCATCAGGTTTTACAAAATGACATCGCAAACATGACCTCGAGGAAATGACATTTTATAAATATCACAAAAATCTACCATTTACAGATTAATGTAAATCTATACCTGCTGTTTAAAGGTACGGCTTGATAATTAATGGCCTTGGAGATAAATAAAACTTTAAAAGAATTTAAATCAAAACAGATATTTTAATTTAACCAAAATAAGATGGAACTGCCCAGTTACAACCCAGAAGTATGGCTTTGTCTGTTCCGTCAGGTATCTGTTGTTGAGGATGTCACACCTCCTCAGTTGGCAACTTGACAAAGCAAACATAAAAAAATTAAAGTAAAAGATGATTTGCAGCCATTTATTTTCCAATGAGCCTTTTCAGCACAGCAGGTCTGGAGAAGGGCCAGCAGTACTCGTTGGGGACGGGCCCGTTCACGTTGCATTCGAAGAAAGAGAACATGGGGAACCAGATGCGGGCTCGCCGGCTCTGCTGGTACGCCCGAGTGTTGGCTAAAGTGTGGTAGTACAGGAAGAGTCTGGTAGTGATGTAGAACGCTATAAACACATCGATGGAGTAGTGTTCATGAGCGGCCAGGATGAAGAAGATGCCAAAGAGATTGAGGACCCAAGACAAGGTGTGAATAAAGTTCCAGCTTCGTGGAGTGTCTGAGAAAAGACGAGCAACGCACAGATTAAAAGATGAACGCAGCGAACTGTTGAGTGTCGAGGTCAGATTAAAAAGACTCTTCTACAACTACAGACAAGAATTTAAAATTGGGCTTAAATGAATTTCCTTCATAATTTATTATTAATTAAAAACTTTTTATTTAACGTTCATGCAACACATAATTTCCTTGCATTCTATAAAGACAGACCAAACAATTTAAAGTTAAATCTTTAGAGAGCTTATAATTTTAATGTAGCTTAAGTTGTTTTAAACTTTTCTACCAACCTGATTATTAAAAGCAACTTTACTTATAGAGCAGTCCCTCGGTACGTCGCGGTTCAACGTTCGCGGACTCGCTCTTTCACGGTTTTTCAAAGTAAAATTGAACATGAGGAAAAAAATAAATTATACACAACACACGGTTGTCAACTTCAATATTACTCAGGTGATTGGGACAGTACGAGATACCGTACAGTAAAAAGTTAACGAAAAAATAAAATACTTCGGACAGGCATTTTGTAGTTTTCTCTCAATGTCACTGTATCGCCACTCAAAAAAGGACTACATTTCCCAGAAGCCAATAGTGCTTCCAGCCATTGCCTTCTGCTGAAATGGAGGGAAAGTTCTGATCCAATCTGAAAAATTTGGTGCTTATTACAGTGACTTGGGCACCCAGCAGATGCGGAGAGCTGCACAGAACCCACTGAGAACCAGACCAGAACTGGAGCAGAACTGAACCCCCAGACCTAGGTGAACTCGAGAGCTGCTAGCCAGCCACGAGGACTTCTGAACGTGGATGCGCGCCGCCGTAGGGCCGGCCTCTCTCCGGAGTTCACCGGGACTTTTTCATCTCTCTATCAGACCGCTCAATCGGACCACCGGTCTCGCGCCGAACATCCTAAGATCCGCCCGCCTCCCAAAATGCGCTTTGGCACTCAAGGGCTGCACAGAACCGGAGCAGAACCGAACCCCCAGACCCATTTGTGAATCCGAGAGCTGGTAGCCGGCCCACGAGGACTTCCGAGCAGGGGACGCGCCGCCGTAGGTCCACCCTCTGGGGTCCACCCTCTGGGGTCCACCCTCTGGGGTCCACCACCACTACCCCGAGCCAGAGAGCCGACCAGAACCAGCAGGATAAGTCTGCAGAAACAGAACCGAGTCGGAGCGGAACCAAGCCGCTGCTGTTCTGCAGAGCTGGCGAGTACATTTGTTTATTTATTTAGTAAATATAGTAATTATAGTAGTTCTATATATATGGATCCAGAATGTAACCTCCACAATAAACGAGGGACTACTGTAGTTTCATTATGAATTTATATAAAAAAGAAGCTGTTAATAAACTGCTGCTTAATGTGAATCAAAAGAGAACATTTTAATCAGTTTTGTAACAAGAGGCAGTAATCTTACAAGGACAGGGCACTTTGTTGCTGGTAAAAATGTTTTTTAAATATAAAAACGACTTGACTGCCTGGAAATTTGTTTCTCTTCTTATATTTTTGTAGAAAAACTAAATAAAGCCCAAAGGAACTCTGACGTTTACAACACGTGTTGCAACAGAGGCCACTCACACTCCGTGACGAAGAAGTTAAGCATGGTCAGAACGACGGTGTGGCCACTGAACATGTAGTCGCCACACGTGTGCACTCCCGTCAGCGTCATTCCAAAACCACTCCAGATCGCTACAGCCCGCTGCAGTTTGGCCCACATGTCACCATACATCTGCATGAACAGAAGCAGAGAAACTGGTTAACAATGTCAACTTTAAACAAGCGTAACAAAATTAATATAAAAAATAAAGGTCACATCACCTTTCCTGAGCACTGCAGATGTTGTCCCGGCACCGACAGGGAGGTGACAAACATGGTGATGCAGCGAAGCATGAACACCGTCCCCATCAGGCTGCACAAGCGCCGCAAAAGGATGGACCTGCACGTTGCAAGAACCAGTAAGTTGGACCAAGCACTGGTTTCAGAAACACGTGTTTAGCAACTGTATCCAAGAATTTAAAAAAATTAATGCTGGACTCAACCTATGTTTATGTAGCAGCAAAACCAGAAGCCAGATGTTACAGAGAATCACTCCGCACGCCTCGGCCATGGCAAAGGCCCACGGTATTCTAGGCACGCTGTTAAAGAGGAAAAACAGTCAACAGGGCAGGTATACAGGTGCTGGTCAAAGTTAGAATATCATGAAAAAGTTGATTTATTTCAGTAATTCCATTCAAAAAGTGAAACTTGGATATTATATTAATTCATTACACACACACCGATATAAATGTTTATTTCTTTTAATGTTTAAGATTCTAACTGACAACTAATGAAAAGTCCAAATTCAGTAATCAGTTAATTAACTCAAAACATCTGCAAAGGCCTTTAAATGGTCTCTCAGTCTAGTTCTGTAGGCTACACAATCATGAAGAAGACTGCTGACTTGACAGTTATCTAAAAGACGACCATTGACACCTTGCACAAGGAGGGCAAGACACAAAAGGTCATTGCTAAAGAGGCTGGCTGTTCATAGAGCTCTGTGTCCAAGCACATTAACAGAGGTGAAGGGAAGGAAATGATGTGGTACAAAAAAGTGTACAAGCAATAGGGATAACCACATCCTGGAGAGGATGGTGAAACAAAACCCATTACAAAATGTGGGGAACATTCACAAAGAGTGGAGTGCAGCTGAAGTCAGTACTTCAAGAACCACCACACTCAGACGTATGCAAGACATGGGTTTCAGCTGTCGCATTCCTTGTGTCAAGCCAGTCTTGAACAAGAGACAGCATCAGAAGTGTCTCGCCTGGGCTAAAAACAAAAAGAACTGGACTGCTGCTGAGTGGTCTAAAGTTATGTTCTCTGATGAAAATAAATTTTGCATTTCCTTTGGAAATCAAGGTCTCAGAGTCTGGAGGAAGAGAGGAGAGGCACAGAATCCATGTTGCTTGAGGTCCAGTGTCAAGTTTCCACAGTCAGTGATGGTTTGCGGGGCCATGTCATCTGCTGATGTTGGTCCACTGTGTTTTCTGAGCTCCAAGGTCAATGCAGCAGTCTACCAGGAAGTTTTAGAGCACTTCCTGCTTCTGACCAACTTTATGGAGATGCAGATTTCATTCTCCAACAGGACTTGGCACCTGCACACAGTGCCAAAGCTACCAGTAACTGGTTTAAGTACCCTGTTCTTATTTGGCCAGCAAACTTGCCTGACCTTTACCCCATAGAAAATCTATGTGAAGAGGAAGATGTGATACACCAGACCCAACAATTCAGAAGAGCTGAAGATCACTATCAGAGCAACCTGGTCTCTCATAACACCTGAGCAGTGCCACAGACTGATCGACTCCATGCCACGCCACATTGCTGCAGTAATCCAGGCAAAAGGAGCAACAACTAAACATTGAGTGCTGTACATGCTCATACTTTTCATGTTCATACTTTTCAGTTGGCCAACATTTCTAAAAATCTTATTTATTTATTTATTGGTCTTAAGTAATATTCAAATTTTCTGAGATACTGAATTTGGGGTTTTCATTAGTTGTCAGTTATAATTATCAACATTAAAATAAATAAACATTTGAAATATATCAGCAAGTTTCACTTTTTCAATGGAATTACTGAAATAAATAAACTTTTTCAGGATATTCTAATTTTATGACCAGCACCTGTACAATCCATCTGACAGAAAATACATTTGTTGTTTCTTGATGTAATAAAGCTACGGCAAGCCGTTATACTAACCTGTCAAGAAAAATGTCTGGCAGCGGAGGGTATGTGCGCATGTCGGGCACCCTTTCATGCACAATGACCATCACAAAAGATGTGAACCCGAACACAAACACCACATACACAGAGCTGAGCACCGTCTTCCAGTACTCGGGGTCGAGGCGCCTCATCTGCTGCTTGTACTTTCCATTAGTGTACTGGTTGTACTCCTCTCCCACCGGGGCCGTGTCAGTGCTGTCACAGTCTCTGCCTGGGTCTCCATTACATAGCCAGTCCGAGTTGCTGCCAGAGCTGGAAGGAGAGAGGCCGTCAAAGGGAACGCCCAACTCCTCCAAGATGTCAACGTTCTGTTTCTGAAGCTTGCGGATGGACACCATGAGCCTCTTGATGTCGCCCAGCACCTTGAGCTCCAGAGGCGGCGAGCGGAGGTCATACTCACTGAGGGCGAGCAGACTGGTGCCATCCAGTCGATGCTTATTGCACAGCAGATCCACATAGTCACAGAAGCCTTCTTCTTTCAGCCATTTAGAGACGTGTTTAGGCGTCCAGCGACGAATGCTATGTTGGGTCATTTCCCCTTCACTCTGAAAAAGAGGAACAGAAACATTTCAGAGTGGATATCGGTCTTAAAAATCCTCCTCATTCATAAACAAAATAACCCATGAGGAGTTAATAATGTTAGGCACACTTACTCTGCAACACTACACACAATGCTACTTCATAAATTATAAATTAACTTAATGGCAAAAGTAGGAGGCACAAACAAGAGGTACACGAGGAAATTCATAGTTTTGGCAACTGCATTATGAAAATACAGAGAATTAGTAATCTACACTTACACTTTCATGAAAAACACAAAAATGTAGTTCATTACTTTTATAGTATTTGTTGAGTTCATAGTTTTTATGCTTGTATGTGTTCGTGTACAGCACTTTGGCCAACGGTGTTGTTTTAAAGTGCTTTATAAATAAAGTTGTATTGTATAAACGAGCCCAATGATTCCTCTGGATATTTAGTGCATTTAGGCTTCTAGTCAAAGCAATAAATAATATTAATAGCGCATTAAAAAGGTAATGAATAACTATTTCAGCTCAACTTAAATACAAAATTATAACAAATTCAAGTTTGTTGTTAAGATGCATAATTTATTGTCTTATTATTCCATCCTCTGGTGATGTAAATCTCCCACCTACAACCTAAATCACTGTTGAACAGCTTTGGAGGTCAGGAGACTCTTCTGCTGCTCACTTTCTTATAACCTAAACAAGCTAATTAAAGGACATGTGGAGCTAAATGTTCGACAGACGTGAATCCAAATCAAAGCCTCCTCCTTTCTGTCCTACATACGTTGCCCTAGACTACCTGTCTACCAAGCTAGCTATTAGCCTTTGCTAGCTTGATATCAATGCGCGTCCTTTTACTCACCCGGTTTCAGACGTAACTTGAAGACGACACGGAACCTATTTGTTCAGATAACTAACTAAGCGGCATCCCACAAGAATGGCCAGAAACCGTACTAGCGGAATTTGCGGTAACAATAACAGCTTGGTGGAAAACATTTCGCAAAGCCTTCGCGCATGTTAGCATAGCTGTTGATAAAGACAAGGCCGTAATGCCTACAAAAGCCGCGCACGAAAAATCTGCAGCGTGGAGCTGAGTTATTGCGAATCAACAGCGACACCCAGCGTCAAAACTGTGTTACTGCAACTCGGCGTTTTTATTTTCATTTCATTTTTATTTAATTTTATTTATTTATTTTATTTTAATGAATAAAGCAGGGCAGAACATTTGAAAAAAAAAAAAGAATTACCTTTGAAAAAACAACAAAATCACGACAGCATTTGAAAAAACGGAATTACATTAAGCCGAAGCAGAAGTGGCCCGAATCACATTAGAAAAAACAGAATTACATTAGAAAAAACAGAATTACATTAGAAAAAAACGGAATCGCATTAGAAAAAAACAGAATCACATTAGAAAAAACGGAATTACATTAGAAAAAACGGAATTACATTAGAAAAAATGGAATCACATTAGAAAAAAAGAATTACATTAGAAAAAACT